CATATTAGATCGTTTATTTGATATACCACATAGTGAGCGAGGAGCATTATCTGTTGGATGAGGTGTCCAACAGAATTTATTACTCGTATGCACATCAAAGTAACCACACAAATCTCAAACTCCCACCACATACTCCAACACTTCTTCATTCACTCATCTTAAGGGTAGTATGTGTTTCCAGATATCTGGAATATGTGATGCTGAATCATTTTTCGTGTCATTTACTTTGGGAATGGATTCAATGAAAAAAGATACTGTGATCAATCTCTCCCTCCACCTAACAAGCTATGTTGGATTTTAGAACCGTCACCCGTCATCCCAATAGCTCTACAGTGTGATTATAAACCAGTGAATGCAGAGTGATAGTCGACTATTTCTCCAACTTACTCATCTTAGTAGGGTTTCTCATTGCATGTTCCTCTAAATTTTTGTGTTCTGTCATTCTAACTGACACCGATCGTCTGCTCTCATCTACATACTTGACCTCACAATCATTGCGTGGTAGAGTGTACACTTTCACTAAGGTTCGTTCATGAAACAGGTTATCCTGTTAGACCAATAGTTGACTTTAGAAACACACCATCATATGAGTTGTCGACATATTTAGGCCTACTGGATATAGTTGAAAATGTGTGACCATCAATTCATTTGAATTGGAGGAAAGACTGAATGGTGTAGAATTAGAGTAGAAAGGAAAGATAGTCAGTTTCGATGTGATGAGCCTCCAAGCAAATATACCAAATATTATGGTAGAGGTGGCAGTCACAAATGAGCTTTCCACCGACTATGAAGTCAAAAATTGAACCAGAGTTTCGACTGAAGAAATCGGGTAAAGGGAACGATTTTGTCCAATTTACACACTTTTCAAATTTCAAGCAGAAATACATCAGTAAACAGAAGGAGTAGTGAGTGATAGGATCTCCGAAATTCAGTAATCGTAGCAGACATATCTGTGAACAAATGGTATTCGAATATTGCAACCCATCCACTCCACCACAAATATGTCTGGTTTTGATATGTACATGACACATTTACACCGTGTTGAAATTAGAACACATGCAAGGCGCTTTTCTCACACACATTAACTCTATATCAGATGCAATCCAATTCACCTATGAGTTAGAAGATGAAGAAGGTGAATTATCACCTATGTTGGATTCCGAAATGAAGAGGCGAGAAGATGGAATCTTCGATATCAGTGTTTGTAGGAGACACATATCTGATGTGATATTTGCATTTCACATCATCTCACCTAATATCTTTGAAGGTGGGCTTCATAAAATGTCTCAGTAATTGAGTTATCAGTTTGGACAGGAAATCAGAAAACTTAAATTGCCAGCTGAAACACATCAAACATATACTACTTCTAATAACCATCCTCCAGAATTGATTGGAGGGGGGTTATCATGATTGATGACTGAAGGAGTGGTAATGTTAGTGGTGATTACAGTATGTGAATGGGGGAATTCCAATCCTTTGTAACGCTACTGTATGCAGATGACACATTGGGTATTTGTTCGTGGAATTCTGAACAATGGTGACTTTGATTGAGGTGGTATTTAAACCGAGAAACTCTCTGATAGAGAAACTTTGTCGACTGAAAGATGCAGTAGAGTTAATCAGAAAAAATGGCTGGATCTGTCAACCATGATATGGTGATCAGCATCAGTCAGCGTAGTGGAGCACAGAATTCAGTGAAGCATACAATGAGAGAACCTACTAATAATATGAGTAATTTGGAGAAATGCTCGACTATCACTCTACATTCACTGGTTTATAATCAGACTATTGGGTGAGTGGGATGAGGGATGACAGTTCAAAAATGCAATATACCTTGTTAGGTGAATGGAGAGATGGATTACATAATTCTTGTTCACTAAATCAACACCAACCACATATGACAGGAATGATTCCGCATCATAATATTACAGATAACCGGAAACATTTACTACCATTAAAATAGAAGAATGAACTGTCGGTTTGTTATAAAGATGAAGTTTGAGAGTTGTGCAGTTATTTTGATGTGAATATGAGCGATAAATTCTGTGTGAAAGGTTATTCAGTAAACTATACTGTGTCAATGTGTACCGTATCAAGTAAATAGTCGAATATGGAAGCCTTTATGTAGTCAGATTATATTCTTTCACCTTAGATCATAGAAATTATTTCGGGAACTGTTTAGAAGTCTACAATGTTCTCCCTCAAGTCCCTTTTTCTACTGAAGTATTGGTTATATAACTGCTTAGTATGACCATTGTCTATAACTCCCTTGAAATGAACTTATACATAGTTCTTGACAGACAGACAGACAGACATCAACAAATGATGATTTGGTACTTGAAACTTTAATCAACTAATATAGCCATGACTAAACTTTTCTTTATATTCTTGAAGCTTTCGGAAATTTAGAAAAGATGAAAGAAAACTGAGTGATAGATTGATTAATGAGACTTTATTTATCGAGTCGACAACACGAGTAGCAATGACTTCACAGCCTCCATTCAATGACCCTATGAAGAATATGATGCACCATTAACTGTACATAGTATCTTGAAGAAATCTGTAATTAGGGTGGCACTTAAACGTACAAACTCACTCAGAGATAATCTTTGTCAGGTGGCTTGAAGATTTTGATGGAACCAATTAACCAAAATAATCTAATCTATCCAAATCCATGTGATTGTGTTGGACTGGATCATGCAGCAAGTTGTGAAGAACGAGAAGAGGGGTATACGCTGGATGGATGGATGGATGGATGAAAAGACCACAGAAGAAAATTGGGATTTCGCCGATGATCATTCATGTCTAATGTCTAATGTCATACAAACTGGAAGATATATAGGTGAAAAGCAACAAGTAGGTGGAAGAGGTGAGGCATGGCTGTGATGATGGGACTTCCTTCAGTGGAGTGTAGACAAGACAGAGTTGATGAAGATACCCAGTCAACAAAGACAACAACAGCAGCAACGACAACTACAATAACAGTCACCAATCATGATGAGTGGGAGAAATCTGAAGGAAGTTGTCTCTTTCATCTCCTGCCTACATAGGCAGCATCATTCCGACCACAGGTGGTGACGGAGGTACAGATGACGAGTTTGAAGCCAGGAATGGAAAGACAGCAAGACACACCTTCCTTCAATAATCTGAAATAATCAGTGTGGAGATAGATCTACTGCAGTCAGTATAAAGCGTGAACAACATACGGATTTTCAACATCAATTCAGTCAAGTCAGTCAGTGCATCTGTGTGATGTCTGAGAGACTTGACGAGTTGCGGAAAGCATTTCCAACAAACTGGAGACGTACATCACATGAACAGCTGCCACCTACTCTCACTCGATACTGAAGATGGAGATGAGATGGCCAGAATAATGGGAATAATCGACAGGGCACTCTTGCTGTCTGCCAACGCATCAACCAACAACCTGTCGCTCAACAAATATGCAGAGGAAGAAATTGTAGATGGATTGGATTGGACATATACTGTACAGACCGTTTGGGGGCATCACGCGCCAGTCGAGGTCAGTTCTGTGAGTGGAATCCAAATAGTAGAGGATGAGTTTAGCGTTGGAGGATGACATGGAGGAGATTGTGTGAGGAAGAAATGAAATCTTGTGTGGAGTGTTGTAGCTCGTTTGGAAAGACTGCGGAGGGGAGAGTGAAACTGTGACGTGCTTTTGAAGCCTTTTGTTTCACTAGGAGCCTAAAAGGCAGATAATAATAGTCAATCTATTTCCAGGTAATGACTGCGATGTCAAGTAGTTATATGAAACTAGCCGGTCGGGACAATTAAATAGCGGAACATTTGAATTTTGCTAAATATAGAATGGTAGACCTGAATAAGATCAGTAATCTAGAAAAACAACTCTGCTATTGCGATGCGTACACTAACACATACAACCACGCAATAGAGTGGGTGGGATAAAGCCGCTATATCTAATTCTAGCATTATAAGTTGGAGAGAGATTGATCAGTGAATCTTTTGTTCATCGGATCGACATCCAACGCAACACATGTAGTAGGAATGACGCAACACCTATACCAGAGATATGAAAAGTTGTGTGGTTACATTGATATGATTATGAGCAATGATAATTTATACTCTAAACTTCGTCAAGTAAATAGTACCAAAAATAATAGTATCATTGTGTGTTATAAATTAAATATTTTGAAGGAGTTGCGGGGATTTGGAAATATTTTAAGTTGTTGTTCATCATAGACTGACATCAGTTGGAGGAACAAAGGGAACCTGGGGCATTGGACAGCTGTCCCGTCTCACTGGTATGGGACTCACCAGCAGTACGCACCCGCGACCCCGCCAGGGATGGAACCCGCGGCGTTCGGGTTCCGTGGCCAGCATGTTGCCATCGAACCAATGGTTCATATTTCCAACTTCTATTGGCTCACGATATAGCTCACTTCATATGTAGAGGAGTCATATACTAAGACGAAATGGCAGCTGTCCAGCGCTCCCAAGTTTCCTTTGTTCCTCCAACTGATGTCAGTCTACGATGAATAACAACTTGAAATAAATTAAATCAACAAATCTAATATGGACTTATCGCATTCTTATCTAACACATGCAACAGAAGTGACTCCGTACCTATTTGACAAATCGTACTATCCATATCACAAAGGAGGCTAGGAAATTAGGACTATATAAAGGATATCTCAAAGTTGTGTAGTTATCTTGATATGACTGTGAGGACAATAAATTATGTCCAAAATGTAACCCAGTAAACAATACTGTTCCTTCACAGTGTGATAAATGTAATAAATCAATAAAAATAGAGTTAGGTTCTACTACACTGTGCAGAAATTTTACTTTTATTTTGATGTTGCCGAAATTCTATCCACACCAGTGAAGGATATGATATAGTTTACATAGTCAGCACACCTTAGAAGTTTATACTTTACTCAGATGAGCGCATTTTTATGAATTTTACCCAGTTTGCCCCATGTTAACCTAATTTCGTTCTTTTTCTTCTTTTATTTCAGCAAACTGGTCTGGCTGCTCAGTGTCACCATCAGCCCGGTAGAAGAGCATCACTAATCGAATTACAACTTGTCCATAGAGATGTTTATACAGTTCTGTTTGGTAGTAATCCAGCAAGTAGATGTCGAATTGACCCAACTCTTTTAGCTACAGTACGTTTGTGTAGATTACCGTGTGGTGGTGTCGGTGTGGATTCTGATACTGCTTGGCACACAGCTGGTCATACAGCTCATGCAGCCAGATTGGCAGCTGGATGTGTTGTTGATTTAGCGTGTCGTGTAATACTTGGACAGTGTCCGAATGGGTTCGCTTTAGTAAGACCACCAGGACATCATGCAGAACCAGGTCAAGCGATGGGATTTTGTTACTTCAATTCTGTAGCGATAGCAACAAAAAGAGCTCAGTTTCTTGGCTCAGCAAAACTAGGTGGCGAACAATGCTCTGTTATCCCTTCATTAACAAGTACATTCTTCGACCAGTCCGCTTTCCTTCCTTACACTATGGAACCCACACTGAAGCCAAGAATTTTGATATTGGACTGGGATATTCACCATGGAAATGGAACACAGACAGTTTTCTACACCGATCCAACTGTACTGTACATTTCATTGCATAGGCATGATGAAGGAGGATTTTTCCCTGGGACTGGATCACCTGAAGAAATAGGTGCTGGTCCTGGTGAAGGATATACGATTAATATTGCCTGGCCACCAGGAATAATTATGTCTGATGCAGAGTATCTGGCGGCATTCCGTTTGATTGTTCTACCTGTCGCTTGTGAATTTCAACCAAATCTTGTCTTAGTTTCTGCAGGATTTGATGCAGCTCCAGGCCATTCAGCCAATCTTGGTGGTTATTCTGTCAGTCCAGCTGCTTTTGGTTGGATGACACGCTTGTTATCAGTTGACCGAATTGCTAATTCAAAGGTAGTTTTGTCTCTGGAAGGAGGCTATGATTTAAACAGTCTCTGTGACTGTACAGAAGCTTGTGTACGAGCACTACTACAGTCTGCTGCTGAAATAAATGAAAAAAACTCAGTACCTATCACGGTTCCTGATTTACTTCCTTTGAAACAGTCAGAATTGGATCGTTTACCTCATCCTGCAGCAATACAAACATTACTGAAAGTTGCACATCTACATTCTCCCTATTGGACTTGTTTCTCTAAAGAAATCAATACAGAGTATGCATCACTACCAGCGAGTGGATGGCTACCAGTAGTATTTGACAAGTCATTAGAAACAAAAAAATTCATGAATTCAGTTGCAGATCAATGTTCAACAGTTACTACAACAAACTTTAATCGACGTTTGTTTAAACCATTAGGTAAACAAGTCACATTAGATGAAGATTTTAATATTTTTCCATGTAATACAAGTGTAGAAAGCAATCGATCATCTAATTTTGCTATACGACAAGCTTCTTCAATGGATGAAGCAACAGAAATGACAGAGATGAAACAGAATTTCACTAGAAGGAGATCAACAACTGGTATTCCAGTCTCAATCAACGATACTAAACAGTTAGTGGATACAAATGAAACAATAACACGAATTGCATTAGCACGTTTAGCTGAACTACATGTAACACAAAATCATGATTAAAGCTGAATGAATTTCAGATAATTTCAATAGAATATACTACCTATTAAGGTTGTGATATTGTTTGTTTTATTTACATATAGTCATGACAATTAAACGAAAGATGAACTTTACACAAAACAGATTATAATTATTATCAATATGAGAATAAAAAGAGAAATTATTTTGGATTAAATCATATTATTATGTAAACTTTCCATTTCAGTAATCAGCTGAATGTCTGAACATCTACACTGTCCATGTGTATGTATTATCTCTGTAAATAACAATAATAATAATAATGATGGTAACAATAATAATAATAATAATAATTAGTAACAAGCCAGAGAATCCAGATAATCATTCCTTGAAGACATCTGAAGGATATTTAACTACCCGGTGCCTTAAAATATGAGAAATTTTATTTGAATCAATGCCCTACCTCTATCTACAGTCCATATTCAATGTTCAATATACAGTATATATATATATATATATATATATATATATATATATATATAGGCATCATTATCTACATTGATATATTGATCAGTATAATGATAGAAAAGCTACAACCACTGCTATTGAATCCATTGAAACGCATATTTCTATGTTTCATCTCTTTTTTCTTGTTGTTTACGTATAAATTATTGTTCTTTGTATTTCAAGAAAAAGAAACAACAACAAAAAAGAATTTGTTATTTTATGGTTCAATGAAAATAATATTATTGTATTATTGATAAAGTATTTGTTTTAAGTGTTTATTTTTACAAAATAATTATTGTGTTGGATAATTTAAATCAGAATATACATTGCCCATAAATATAGAAATATGACTAGTAAAGACAATACTCATGAGTGGACATGTCTGTATGCACCAATCCCTAGCTGATTGACACGGGAACAGCATACAGTATACAGAATCATTGTAACACACACTGATAAATTATGGTGATTTCTGCCTGAACATTTTTGTGATTCAATCATCATTAAATGTTTCATACTTCAAAATATCCCCCAGATAACTTGATGTTCATTTTTTGTTTTGTTTGTCTGATTGTCTTTTGATTTCATAAAGTTTTAACAAACAATATTCAATGTAAATATAAATCTTTAAAGTAAAAGAAATTATTTGTAATGATCGATAATGGCTACCAGTGGAATCTAGGATACTCATTTCGTCCTATTTGTGATACGTCAGCTGGATGAACCTGCTTCCAACTGAGTGATGTTATTCCCGCTGGGATTCGAACTCCAGACCGATCGCTTCAAACCTCAGAGAGTCATCTATTAGACCATCAAGCCACAATAGACACTTCTTGTGTGGCGGGTATACATTTAGTTTATTTGCTTGTGTTATACAGTCGTTGATCGGTCTCTACCGGCATATAGGCTCGTGTGTGGACGCCAATAGAGAGCGAGTATTTCTGTCCAATCAACGACGGGACAATACAAGCAATAACACCAAAAGAAATTATCCTTCTCGAATGAAATTAGAACGACTATGAATAAGTAAACATTTTTCAAACTAGAAGTTAAATATTCTTTTCAATAACTTATCACCAGGTTCTACTATTGTCAAATCAGTATCTGACATCACTTGAAGAACTGTCGAAAACTTGAGGGAACTAGATAGTTGCTTCGTCCCATCATAAGACCTCTCAACAGCGTGCACCCATGATCCTGTTAGGAATCGAACTCTTGACTGTTGGGTCACGAGCGCAGTACGTCATCATTCGACTACCGATTCAGAATTTAATGGTTCACATTTTGGATCTGTAATTCGAAGTCAATGAAAACTCTATTTACTTCAAGGTAGTATTCATGACCACTGATAATCTGGGAGCATTGGAGACCTGTTTCGTCCTCAGCAGTATGCATCCACGACTTGGCTAGGGATCCAACTCAGGACTATCAGCTTTCACGGAGAATACATTAACCCCTGACATCTGTCCATGATGAATACTACCGTAAAGTGTAAATGTAAAATGACTGATGATAATCGTAGTATTCAGATGTGTTGGGTAAGTAATAAGTTCAGAGAGACCATGATATGAATATACCACAGGGATAGAAGTGGATTGGCTATTTCATCGTAAAACGATCAATATATGAAGTGAGATAGTCTGACGATAAACGTAACAACGGTTCAAATGATAAACGAAATGTGTGAGAAATTTTGAAGGTTTATTAAAACCAGAACAGGCTGGCTCTAAGAACAACAAATCTTGTGCGGATAAAATTGTAACGTTAAGCATCATTATAGAGCAGAGCATGGAATGGAAGTCAACATTTTATCTCAACTCCATCGACTTTGAAAAGGCCATCGACAGCGTCGACCGAGAGGAAATTCGGCAGTTGCTTCAACACTACGGAATACCACAAACCTTTATCAGCCTCACTCAACAACTATATGAAGATGCCACATGCCAAGTAATCTACAATAGGAAGCTCAACGATGCCTTTGAAATGAAGACAGGAGTGAAACAAGGCTGCCTACTATCACCCATGATATTCCTGATTGTGGTTCACTGAAACATGCAGGAAACTGTGAGGAGTGAGAAGAGGGGCACACGCTGGTCTGATGAAAAGACCCCAGAAGAAGATTTGCATTTCACCGATCATGATTTACGTATAATGTCGCACAAACTCAAAGATCTACAGGGGAAAACTAACAAGCTGGCAGAAGAAGCAGCAAAGATGGGACTTAAGGTGTACATTGAGAAGACGGAGGTGATGAATATACCCAACCAACAACAACATCAACAACAAGCACTAATCACCATAAACGGGAAAAACCTAAAGGAAGTAGCCTCCTTCACCTACCTAGGCAGTATCGTTTCAACTACAGGTCGCACAGACGAGGATGTCAAAACCAAGGTCGGAAAGACAGCAAGACAGGCTTTCATTAGTCTGAAATAATCAGTGTGGAGATCTACTGCACTGTACTCAGCACAAAGAACAAGATCCAGATTTTCAACACCAATGTTAAGTCAGTGCTGCCATATGGTAGAGAAACTTGGCGCGTCACGTAAAGCATTTCCAACAACCTACAGACATTCATCAACAGCTTCCACCTACGCTCGGTACTGAAGATCAGTTGGTCAGGAAGAATAAGCAACAAGGAACTCTGGCTGGCTGTTAACGAACCAAACAACAACCCGTTGCCCAACAAATAAGCAGAAGAAGAAAGTGGAGATAGATTGAGCATACACTGAGAAAGCCATTCGGAGGCATCATGCGCCAGGCTGTCGAGTGGAACCCAAAGGGAAACGACGAATTGGGAGTTTGAGTCGAGGGTGACATGGTGGAGATGGTATGATGATGAAATGAAAGCTTGTGGGCAGTGGTGGAGCGAGGTTCAAAAGACTGCAGAGGACGGAGTGGAATGGAGATGTGCTAGTTAAACCCTATTTTCCACTAGGATCCCAAGGGGATAATAATCATAATTAAAAACAGGAACATAGACCAGAGGAAAGTCCCCTAAAAAGAATAAAATATAACAAAATTAGGAGAGAAACTAAGGAAATATGTATAAATATTTAGTCAATGAAGATCTTGGGAGGAGTGAGGCTTGATAGAGTTCTTTCTGAGTGGGTAGGTGACTGGTAAGTGGTACAGTCTTTATTTGCTCCTGTGCAGCTGAGTACTTCAGCTGTAGTATACGCTATCTTGAAAAATGCGCTAGCAAAATTAGCCAGCCTAGTTACTGAAAGAGAGTAAACGTTGCCTCCATTTCCACTGTTCACCACCCGATAGACACTGGACATCTAATTCTTCTAGAAATCTCATTCAAAATCCTTTACAATGTTCAACTGAACACTTCAAAAGGAGGTAAGGACTAGATACTTATTTATGAAAGAAGTTTTGGTAATTCACAACTTCCAAACGTCAATTGTGTATTCAAAAAAGTAAACATTTTATGTTACCATAGCCTTAATCAAGTACTCTAAAGCTCTGTTTACCTTTCATTTATTTCTTTATATATATGTTTGTTTATATAAATAAGTTCTAGTATAATTCCAGCGTTTCAACACCAACGTCAAGTCAGTGCTTCTGTATCGCTCAGAGATTTGGTGCGTTACGCAAAGCATTTCCAGCAAACTTCAGACATTCATCAACAACTGCCCCCTACGCTTGCTCGTTACTGAAGATCAGATGGCCAGAAAGAATAAGCAACAAGGAACTCTGGGAACGAACCAACGAAGCAAGAACCTATCACTCAACAAATATACAGAAGGAAGTGGAGATGGATTGGGCATGCACTAAGAAAACCATTTGGGGACATCACGCATCAGTCCTTCGAGTGGAACTGAGATGGGAAGCGACGAGTTTAGCATCCGAGGGTGATATGGAGGAGATCGTGTGAGGAAGAAATGAAAGCTTCTGGGTTGTCGTGGAACCAGAGGAGAGAGTGCAGTGAAGACGTGCTACTGAAGCCTTATGTTCCACTAGGAACCCAAGGGACAAATAATAATAATAATTTTAGCGTGTTTAGGAAATTGAACACAAGATATTTTTGAACGTTTCGCTGCTTATGGTACAGATTCTTCAACAGAATATTCGGGTTTTTATTCAACATCAAAATATATACCTTCAAATGGTATATGTAGGGATTTCTGTCTTTATGCCATTGGTTAGTCTGAACAGAAAATCAGCTAACCAACTGTGACCTGCTTAAACTTCGAGCTACTGGAAATTTTACACTGATTTTATTCCATCAAATTCATCTCTTTCAATTTGTTTCAATCTTTTAAATATGTCTTTTGAACGAGTGAAATACTCTTACACACTTTTAAAATAGTTTCAAGCTGTTGTTTTTTAAGCTAACAACAAGCATAAACGATGTACTGTTAGGAGATAGGGTCATAAATGTACAAAAATACAGCAAATTATCATTTCTTGGATAACTATGTTGATTTGCAGATCTTAGTAGTGGTTAGATAAGGTACCGCTACCACTATCAAGATAACTCTCGATTTTCAATTCATTCGCCAGTTGAAACCAAACTTTAATATAAAACCAGGTGACTGTTTCCATTATCCCTTTTATCACTGTTATTATTAACATCAATCAAATGTAATAACCATTTCGCCTACACATAATGTACATGGAATGAATTTAATGAAGCATTTGTCACATGCTGAGAATACTGTACTGTACCTATCTCGCCGTTCGAAATGAAGATATTATCATTATTACTGGTAGTAGAAGTTGAAATAACACTAGTTCTTGTACTAGTAGTAGTAGTACTGGTATTAACAGAAGTAGTAGTAGAAATAAGAGTAGTTTGAGTAGTTGTAGAAGTAGTAGTAGTAGTAGTAATAGTGTGAGTAGTAGTGGTGTGAGTAGTAGTGTTGTGAGTAGTAGTAGTGTGAGTAGTAGTAGTAGTAGTAGTAGTAGTAGTAGTAGTAGTAGTAGTAGTAGTAGTAGTAGTAGTAGTAGTAGTAGTAGTAGTAGTAGTAGTAGTAGTAGTAGT